CACAAAACATTAATACTTTTTTCGCAATAGTTAAAAAAATGTTGCCAGTTATATTTAAGTGGTGCTTAACTTTTGGCGGACTGTATATATCTCCTTGAACTGGAGATTAAATAAACAACAGATTCCGCTTCCTCCGCCTCATTTTTAGACATTTACCTAGAACTTGATTACAGCTATCATCTTAGTACTAGAGACAACTGAAATAATAATTCCCCATAGCAGCAATATTCCAACTTCATACGAGTATGGAGTATATATTTCTAAACTAAACTCATACGATATTCAATAGCTTGAAGCTGCTTCTCTGACTGTAACACGTCATCGGGGTCTGAGCAAAAAGTGATGATCCAGGGTTTTGGTTAAAATAACGTGTTGTCCTTTTTTCTCGAAAAATTTATCGGAACTTACCAAGACCTAATAGATAAATATCAGTGGCTACTTCACGTAGAATACAGGATAGTCATTGGTTACTGATTCTAGGTTTTAAAGTTGTGTTCCATTTTATTTACTTTACAGCTTTCCCTTTATTCGTCCTTGTACTTTTGTGTTCCTTTCGGTCGTAAGAACCTTGACGTGGCTCGGTATTAGTGCATCAAGTTTTCAGGGCTTTGAACGTTCCTGATGCAGCAGGGTCCAGAGGTGCGAATCGGACGTATGAGGTTTCTTATAGCTCTGTTTACATTTTATTTACCCTTATATAGATATAAGAAGATGTGGTATGAGTGCCTATGAGACAACTCTCCATCCAAGTCAAAATTTATAAAAGTAAACCATTATAGGTCAAAGTGTGGTCTTCAACACGGAGCCTTGGCTCATGTACATTTTACTTAATTTGCACTTTATCGGGAAAGTGTATATGTTAACATGTTTTACTATACTATATGTACTATCAAATACAAAAACATGTTTTGTTGGCGTCTTTGTCAGATTTGTGTGATATTATTGCCAATGATACAACTATCTATTAAGACCAAAGTACAATGAAGAGAACAACTTCAGGTCAATGTATAGCCTTTAACATTGAACAGAACCGTATAGAAAGTGAGACAAGTTTGAATTTACAGAAATGCCATGAAAATCAATATAAATGAGTTATTGGGTTATGAATTTAAGACAAACTTTTGAATTTATTTGCACTGAAAAATTTTTTGGTATTGCTTTAATCAAAATATGGTGGCATTGATTATTCGGAAAAAAGATGTCACGGTAGCGCTATTTAAAAGAAAATGTATTTTCCATAGTTCATGTTATTTACAAATCCTGCTCTTCACGGAATTCCTTAGTGACAAATATCACGGATGTCGAAGGAATGAAAAGTGTTATATAGTATGAAACTGTGGGTACTGACATGCTTTATAACATACATTTACCTTTCTTGAATCATGTAATGATATTTAGAAATTATTAAAAAATAGGGTTCCAACTTCCTCGGGCAAAGTTAATCTTAGGTGGATTTGATTATTCTTTTATTTGATCATAAAACTTCTTATGCATTCAAGAATTTATGCATCCTTTTTTTTTTAAATATTTGATTTGAGCGTTCCGAATGAAGGTAAATACACAAAAAGCACCTCGGTCGTACACAATCTATAAAGTTTTATTTGCATGTTCATTAGTTTTATTTCTTATTTCGATGACTAATATATATCTAATATATTTCACTTAGTATAGTTTGAAAAGCGAAGTTTAGAAAAAAAAATACATTTTTTTTAATTTTGCGTCCAAATAGAATAATTATTTTTGCCTTGGCTTGCCTGAAACTAACAGATGTGAAATGTTTAAAATACTGGGGAATGTTCCAAAGTTGTTCTCAAATAAAAAGTCGTTACGAGGTAAAAATTAACTTTGTATATGCCACTGTTATAAAGCGTTGAAGGAAACTATTGAAAATATCTATATATTATGCGAAAACCTGACGTAATCAATATTTTTTTTCTGTATCTATATTTTATACAAAAATCTGGCGTAAAACACTTATTTTTATTTAATATCTTTTCTATTCAGATTGCGATTTATTGTTCTTGTAAAATGGAAACTGACGAAAGATTATTCAACACTAATTAAACAGACTAGGAAAACCTCCTGTGATTCTGACACTTTTTGTAACTGAGTAAAAAGCAATTGTTCTTTCTTCTGTTAGAAATTCTATGTATTACGTAATATCGTTTAAATTGGGAATGCAATGTTGCTGAACGATTAACAAAAAACACATGTACTTGTTATTTAAAATGACTATCGAAGTATTCCGATTTTATCGACGCTAGGGACCATCGTAATCCTGAAAGTTATTTATACACAGCTTTTGTTCAAACCAATCTTAAAACTTACTTAAAAAAATTAAGGAAATGCAATGTTTTATATGTTGCTGATTTCCTTTTTCTGCCGCATTGTATGTTATTTCTCATATCAACATATTTAAACAAATGTGGATTTTTGTGTGTAAGAAGGTTGGGAGAGTTGTTTTTGGCTTTTTATAATCTGGTTCATCTAACCATCGTTTTTACTTATAATCTGTTGACATATTGAACAGTTGTCTTGTCAATCTTGAAAGATTAACTAGTATTTGCTACATTTTGAATTTTTCTTTTTAACATCTGTCTGACAGTGGATAATTCATGATGGCTAATATCTACAATTAACACTATGTATTCGGGATGGCTAATATCTACAATTAACACTATGTATTCATGGAGGCTAATATCTACAATTAATACTACGTATTCATGATGGCTAATATCTACAATTAACACTATGTATTCATGATGGCTACTATCTACAATTAACACTATGTATTCATGATGGCTAATATCTACAATTAACACTATGTATTCATGATGGCTAATATCTACAATTTACACTAGTTATTCATGATGGCTAATATCTACATTAACACTATATATTCATGATGGCTAATATCTACAATTAACACTATGTATTCATGATGGCTAATATCCTACAATTATTACTATGTATATTTGTTATTGCTATTTGTCCGCTATTATACTTGACATCACAAAGGTTCCCGTAAAATTTTGACGTCACAATAGAAAATGTCCGACGCCACAAAGGAAAAGTGATTGTTGTATGACGACAATAGTTGGTGTTGCAGATTCTCGGGTCAAGTGTCGCAGATTTCCAAATAGCGATAAGGTCTATAAACAATACAAAAAAAAACATAACTTTAAATAATAGTTAATGTATGGGAAATAATGAAAAAAAAACAATTGAATTGCATTCCTTTTATAAACAATCTACAGAAAACAATCACATGTAGAACTTTGAAAAAAAGCAACAAATATCGTTCATAAGCAATGTTAAATGGGATTGTCTTTTTATCTGATGTGGTCCCTCATACAAATATTGAAGATTAGTTACATGTCCATGTACTTTATAACAACAAAACACTTAGTTAAAAGTAATCTTGTCAAAACTGGGAACAACAGTAGAAAACCATATAAAATTATCAATACCATTGAATCAATTCAAGCTCAATATATGTTTCAACTTTTCATTACTTCCATTCGCTTGCTTTACAGTAATAATTTCCGTGACAGCTAAAAATCTTTTTATTAATTGTACATGCAATTTCATGTTTATCAAAGGGACGTGGATGATGAATCGATTCCAATTGTATAAACAACAATTATATCTGTTGCAAATGAAATTTAAGAATTGCCTGCTAAAGTAATTAAATATACCCATGCCAATACTGGCAATCTTTGACCTTTCAGCATGTAGATATGGTTAGTGAAATCACCAGGGAACTAGACAACTCTTTGTAATATATTTGGCACGCTATGATTAATAACTATTTCCTTCAGATGTATTAAATTTTACAGTTTGGTTGAACTTACTGCATTATTCAGATTGAATGAAATTACCAAAGCGAATTATGGTTTTCATTGTAGTCAAGGTTAAATACAACATTGACATTTCTGTTTTACTTTTTTCTCTCGAAATACCTCTTCTTTTTTTCTCTGCTTCGCTTTCATTCTACTGTCCGAACAGTGAATTTGTCCAATTTACATACCAGTAAAATGGGAGGATGTGTTTAAATGTTTTAATTATCGATGCTATTTTAAATATTTTTTTTCATCAACAGTCTATTGCAAATAATATTAACATATTTTGTATGTATAAACTGAAGTTAAGCAGCAATACTTTTTCATATTGGTTACGAACGTATTCCAACGGAAATTGTCTATAGGAATTACTTACTACAAATACTACAGCCCGAAGTGGCTTGTAAACAATCCGTGACAGGAAATCGGTAAAGAATGCAATTCATTAGTTTTCTCGTTTGAATTGTCGTTTCGGGGCTGACAATGTGGTATGGGTTTAACTTATTGTTGAAAACCGTACGGTTACTTAAAGTTTTATTTCATTTGGTCTCTTGTGGAGAGTTGTCTCATTGGCAATCATACCACATTTTTATAAGTCACATAATAAGAACATTACATAATATTCTTCAGATATGAACATGCCATGTTTGTATAAGATATCACTGGAACATGTATGCATTTTATTTACGTTGCTTGTAAAAAGGTTGGAAAGTTTGAAATATGAGAAAAAATGAAAACAAGCTGACAAAACTGTCCAGTTTTGAAATATTCCGAAAAACGTGAACGACAAGTGAACCCCATGCCACATGTCAAAAAAAGATACTAAGCCACAAACATATTTTCTATTCTTTACAAAAAAAGAGCACTGTCAACGCTTTCACTGACTAATAGAAAAAAATATGCTTACAATCACATATATACTGTCAAAATACGCAATCGAGGTCACCTGCACTTACTATCTTGTGCCTACTATGTATATTTCACAGTTCATAATAATTGATTGAATGTTGGCGTATCTAATAATTTTTATTTTTATTTTGTCATGAAACTACAATTAGATTAAATATAACTGCAATTAAACAGAATCCAATTTAGTTGATATTTAATATAATTATCCAGACCTGATTAAAATTAAAATGATCTTAATTTTTTTTACAGAAAACATGACGCGAATCCAGGACAAGATATTCAGGATTAGGAACCTTTTCGTGTGGATTGTTTGTCACGCTATATACATAACGGCGGCAAATGACATAAAGTAAGTAACCAATGCACGACTTACAATGTATTATTAAAGAAGTTAGTGCGAATTGTTGTTGAAATTAATTTCTGTAATCTCGAAGCCAAAAATACACAAACCTAGTAGTCAAATTCATCTGAAGAACATTTTTGTCTTGTAAAATGGTTGGACATTATTTCATACTTCGATATAAACAGTACACATAAATATTTGCTGGTGACTTGTTCGAAAACGACAAAGAAAGAAATCATATGGCAATATAGCACCATGATAAACCCACAAAAAAGTATGTGTACTTATATTCAAATGAAAAACTAAAGCTGAGACGAGTTTCGATAAAAACAGCATGTGCTATCAGTAATAATGTTAGTCGTTGCAGTATTCGATTTACTACATTTTTGATTTGGTGATACCCAGCTTATGTGATTGACTTCAAAGAGCGCGATTGCTCTTTCTCCTCACAAATCCTTAGAAATGTTGATTAATTTTATTTTCTGATTCACATTAACTTAAAAGAGAGTTGTAAAAATGGATATTCAAACTCAAAGGTTGAAGATGAATTTACAAAGCCTTGACAAAAAACAAAAAACGACCAAAATACAAACACCAGTCTACAAAACTCAATACAGAAAGCTAAAGACTTCACAATACGAACCCAACCTAAGGATATCGGGTGCTCTGGAAGGGTAAGCATATCTTGCTCCTCATGTGACACCCGTCGTGTTGCTCATGTATATAGTAATTGAGTGAGAAGTCTAATTCGGTGATGCTTCGTTTGAGGGAAAGAAGACGGGATTGTGGTTACGACAGTTGGAAAATATCCGTCGTCATTATCTGTGAAACAGATATTACATAACAGTCAACCAACCCGATGTCGTCCGTGACATTTTTGAAGGTATGACTTCAACTTTACAGAAAAGCTCTTCATACGCATGATTTTTTCTTCACTTCTATGAAACCTTGTTACTTTTAAGTAGCAACCCTATCAAGGAAACATGATAGGAAATGCAAGCTCTAGAATATCGTATCAACTATGAGACATATACCCCATATGCAGGCTCTGTTGCGACATAGATATTTTAACAATTTGGAAGCTGTAAAGCTTTGTTTTTGTTCTCAATCTACCCGCATTGTTAAATTCTAGATGTAAGTCAGGATATGAGGGAGACTAGACTGTACTTGTATCCCTTATTTCAATTTCGATTAGATAGTTGCGTTCAACGTAGTCCCCAAGTGGGAGGACACCATCATATAGGGGAAGTGAAGCGCTTCTTTTCATTCTTTATAAGAAGCTTCTGCATGAATTTTGTCGCATATGAATAAAGGAACAAGTTGGTAAGACAGTTGTTTCCCAAGGAAATTCAGATTGTTTGTTGCACTCCGACTAAAAGATAAAAAACATTACACGAATGAATACAAAGACGTGATGCAATTGATTTTATTGTGATTGATTATTGATTAGTATTTGCTTTACGTCTAATGGCAAATATTTCATGCAGGTTCAGTTAAAGGTATTTAATTTTAAGTCTAAAGATGAAATGTGTTAATTATCTTTATTGAATGTTCCTGATATGTATGTCAATTATACTACATGTATATGAGTGAGTATAATTGGGTTTGAACTGTGTGAGACAATTTTAGTTGATACAAAATCAGTTTTATTGTTGTTTTCAATAGGGCAAAAATAGTAGATATCCTATGGAAGGGAGATAATCAAGAGGTTTTAAAATTTCCACCTCATTATGACTTAGATGGTAAGTTTATTATACTTCATTATATGTCTTCATATAATTTAGGATTATTCCTTATCAAATTTTTTATTATAGACTTTTGACGAGACCAATACATGGACCTGTTCAGATTATATTGACCGAGGACGAATCCGAGTGTCAATATTATAATCTAACAGGTCCATATATAAAGTATTGACTGAGTTAAAGTCCTTAATTTATATACGGGTGTGTGTATTACATATGTAAACAGTGTATTATGGAAAAAAAGAAAAATACCAAAAATACCGAACTCCAAGGAAAAGTCCTCTATCAAATGGCAAAATCAAAAGCTCAAACACATCAAATGGAAATCGACTTCAATGTTCTTTCTGTGTATTTTACATTGTATTTTGCAAGATTTTAAATATTGACCGTCAATATACATATAAATAAAAACATAGCGTCCATATACTTAAAACCATTTGAATCACCATATCGTAATAACCAATGAAAAAGAAGAATGCTACACCATATGTAATATTTTAGGATTATTCCTTATCAAAACTCTTTAAACCACTGATATTAACATATTGACTAGTATCATTCTAAGGGAATACATTGTAAGTTAATTAAGGCAATAGTAATTTACCAATGTTCAATTCTCAAAAATCTATTAGGAAATCATGGTAACAAACAGAAACAGGGGGAATCACGTGACCTCCAAAAGGAGCACGACCAGGTATGTCGACATGGGAAGCATCTCCTACTATGCATGTATCACCCGGCATGCGAATTCACACTCTGTAATAATGTCACAATCGGGAATAGGACAAATTCGGCAAAATTACAAATCAGACGACTCTTTTTCCCTCTCATTGCCTTATAAGTTTCATTGTTGTTTTACACGTATTTTTTTTTCTAAAGCGTCCATGAAGTCTGTAAACGTCTTTATAATGAAAACATAGACAAGTTATTTCTAAAGTAGTATAATATGATTGCTAAAATATATCATATCAAGCTTTCAATTGCTTATATAAATTGTGTGAATAACGAATTATCAAAACTAAATAAGACCTTCCTCTTCTGAGTATTATATTCTCTTACTTTGAGTTGTTTATTTCAAATCATAGTAGAAAAAAAAAACTGTACTCAATCTTAATTGAAAATTTTTTTTTTTTAATGTTACGAGAAGCGTATCACGGTATATTGTGTATTAATCTAATACCGAAATAATGATTAGAAAGTGTTAACCGAGATCTATAGCCTAGAAAACATATATCTCTATTTAATATTTATTTAAGGAGGAAAGACCGATATTTTCTGTGATATGTACGTTACAAGTTTTGATGATGTTAATGAAGCAGATATGGTAAGAAATACAAATAAGACTGAAAATGACCAAAACTCGATAACCTTTTTGTTCTCATTGTACTACTTTATCAATGAAATGTTAACTTATATTTTGTGTCGGGTGTGAGATGACAAAAACAAAAGTGGTAAAGTTGTTTGGGCAATCAAAAGTCATATAGAGAAAAACAGAAAAAGCACAAATATCAAAAGATAACATCAAAACGATAAACAATTGACATAACATAGAAAGTAAGAATGTGTGTCCCATGGAACTCGAACTATTACATTTGGACGTATCAATGACCCGCGAAATTGGAGTCAAAACCATAATTTCATGATATTACCAGCATAATGAATATGTGTACTGAGTTTCAAGTTGAAGTGACCATAACTTCATGGTGAACTATTTAAATCAAAACTTTAACTTGATACGAGACGGACGAATAGTCGGACGAAAAGACAGTAAAACATACTGAACTTTGTCAATATAACAAGTTTTAAGTTAGATTATAACCTACATGTAATTAATTATATCATAATGTCTTAATATTTATATAACGCTTACATTTTTTATGATTGATTACAGCAAAAAAAAAAAAAAGATTCGCCAGTAATTACGTCGACACCCTCAAAATTTCATCACCGAATTTCCCGATTCAACACTGAAAACATGGAAAACCAATTCATCGACAAAGATTGAAACTCAAGTAGATACGTTATCACACAGCATCAAATACAATACTATGTGTTATCACACAACATCAAATTCAATACTATGTGTTATCACACAACATCAAAGTCAATACTATGTGTTATCACACAACATCAATTTCAATACTAAGTGTTATCACACAACATCAAATTCAGTACTATATGCTAACACACAACATCAAATTCAATACTGTATGTTATCACACAACATCAAATTCAATACTAAGTGTTATCACACAACATCAAATTCAATACTATGAGAATACCCTGCAATTTAATGGAGTAACGTAAAATGTATTTTAACATATAACTGTTTAAGCTAGTCCAAGGAAACAAATCAACAATAAAAATCTCGGATTGGTATTTGGTGTTTATCATACATAAGCATTTCCTAATCGGCATTGTTCGCCCAATTCACTGACTGATGATCAAAGAGGTAACACACTTTTAAAAAAGAGGAGGAAATATACATACCATCACTTTTTTATATTTTTTATTGGAGTGTCTATAAAAAGACATGACAATGGATCCGGATATGATTAATTTAATACATTTACTATAAAAAATAGGGACACTTTATGACCGTAAGAGATGTGGAATATTGGCGAAGGAGACAACTGCTCACATTTGACCAAAACAAAGTATAATTGTAAATAAGCCAACCATTCATAAAGACATAATGACAAAGATGACAAAATTACAGTATTGGTTTTGATCATTGTTGAAGTCCTTACGTTGACCAGTAATTTTTCTCATATTTGGCTTTGTGTCTTTATGGATGGTTGTCCTATTTACAATCATACGGCCATACAACCAACCATAAAGACAAAATGACAAGGATGTGAAAATTACGGTATGGGTTTTGCTCATTATTGAATTCCTTACAGTGAACTGTATTTTTTCACATCTTTGTCCTTTTGTGTTTATTGATGGTTGTCCAATAGACGAGCATCGGCCATGAGGTAATCTATTAAGTTGTTTTGGTCACTGGTGGATAGTTGGCTTATTGGTGAACATTCTACATCGCCTTATTCGTACTTATATTGAATGTGGTATAGTTTAACAAGTGTGTGGGCACTCAACACTTTCACTAACCTTGGATTGCGGTTTAACAAAACAACATAAGACAACAACAAAAAATCAAGTTATGTAGGGCTTAAGACAGAACGATAAGAACCACAAAATCAAATTCCAAAAAGGACAAAAGACACAAAGTGCTAATCAAAGACAATTTACTGTTACTGATAGCTATTCAAAACCATTTTCAACTGATGAATAGTTATGTTCTCTAAGACAAAAATGTCAATCAGTACATTCTAACGAATTAAGTGCAAAGATGTCATAAGCAGTTTGAGAAAATCATGACCTTGTACAATTCAAAAATACATGTATAAGTATCGAGATGAAATAGAACCATAAATAACAATACGTGTTTTGTAATGGTTCATGTTTATAAAATGCAATATTTGCAAAGGCTAAAGTAATATTGAACTCCCAGGGAACATACTTTACCATAGGCAATTCTTCTTTTATATTTTAGTTCTTTTTTTTTTGGTTATTCGGCGATTACTTGCATTCATTCTGTAATGTCGTTATCGAGGAAGAAAGAACGATATTGAGACTCCGACAATTTGAACATAACCGTGGTCATCAGGTACTCGAATATTCCATACCGGTCAACCAGATCTTGAAAGCGTCCGTAAAACTTTCGAAGGGATGACTTCAACTTTGACATAAGAAACCCTTATTTCAATATCTTCCTTGTAAGCCGCAACCAACTATCAGGGAAATGATGATAATATACACTTTCTCTGGAGTTTATATATTCCATTATCCTGCATTATGTTGATGAATAAAAGTATAAGTACTATAAGCTAAGTCAATAATATGTTATTTTTTACTGAAATTGTTTTTTTTTTTTCTTCAAAAATTTACTATGATTCAAATGCATTTTTTTTCTTTTTTCAACTCGTACATTTGTATATTTATTAACAAGGATTTTACGATAAGTCTACTGTTACATCTAGAGTGGACCGACATGAGGTTACAGAAAGACATTCAATCTTTAGATTTTGAGGAAGTTGAGCTAGATTCAAAGAGTGTTGGTAGTTTATGGACCCCGGATGTATTTTTCCCAAACGAGAAAGAGGCTTCCTACCACAATATTATGTCACCTAATAGAATGTTTCGCTTGACCAAGAACTGTACACTAAATTATACAGTCAGGTAAGTTTCGCGCATGTTTAATTCTCATACCAAGATATAAAAAAAAACGTTTGGATAAATGTCAATAACAATAGACCAATATAAAAATGTAAGATATACATCATGTTAAGGCTCTAAATCTATGATGATACATTGTTACATAGAAAATAAGATTATTGGAGAATAATAATAATTAAAAAAAAGACACAAGGTACCAAATGGAGCAATTAAAAATTATAAGTCGAATAAAATCTGATAACAACTTGCAAAATCAAAAAAAAAAAAACGAACAGACGAACAAAAGTCCACCAAACAATTTACTAAAGCTATACTTCAATGAAATAGCAACAACACATTAAAACACAATTAGAGATTTGTAATATAAACTATCGAAGTTAACACAATTCTACCAAGAAAAAGAAAACGGATGAATATTTGATTAATAAAGTTTATCTTTAATATTTGCAGACTTACCTTGAAACTGAGTTGTGTAATGAGGTTACATAGTTATCCTTTTGATAAGCAGACATGCAGACTACATTTAGAAAGTTGTAAGTAACTTATACATACATACAAACATAACTCCCTCTGTAAACTACATTTAGAACGTTGTAAGGAACTTATACATACATACAAACATAACTACCTCTGTAGACTACATTAGAACGTTGTAAGGAACTTATACATACATACAAACATAACTCCCTCTGTAGACTACATTTAAAAAGTTGTAAGTAACTTATAAAATTGAGAATGAAAATGGGGAATATGTCAAAGAGACAACAACCCGACCAAAGAGCAGACAACAGCCGAAGGCCACCAATGGGTCTTCAACGCAGCGAGAAAATCCCGCACCCGGAGGTGGTCCTCAGCTGGCCCCTAAATAAAATTCTGTACTTGTTTAGTGAAAATGGACGTCACACTAAACTCCAAAACATATAAACGAACTAAAATTAAAAAAACATACAAGACTAACAAAGGCCAGAGGCTCCTGACTTGGGACAGGCGCAAAAATGCGGCGGGGTTAAACATGTTTTGTGAGATCTCAACCCTCCCCTATACCTCTAGCCAATGTAGAATAGAGAAACACATAGTAATACGCACAGTAAAACTCAGTTCAAAAGAAGTCCGAAAAGGTAACAAAAGAAACCAAGCAAAATGACAATAATACATAAATGAACAAAGGCCTACTAGCAGTTACTGACATGCCAGCTCCATACCTCAATTAAACTGATTGAAAGATTATGTCTTCATTGTATGAAAATCAAGTACAATCCCTCCCGTTAGGGGTTTAGTATCATACCATCATAAAATATATGAGAAGAACATAACCCGTATCATACCAACAACTGGCTTTAGAATAAATGTGTTTATTTTCGATGCAAAGACCCTATGAGTGAATCAATATTAATACCAAAATATGCAATCCTTAATGACTTGACAACAGTATTGTAACGATATCCTTTCCAAATAAGTCTGTTTAAAGGTTTGGTTAGCTTTTGAGGTGAATGCCGACATTTTTGTGCTTTGTAATGAATATTACCATAAAATATTGGATGTGAAATACCTGAACGTATAAGATATCTGCATGTTAATTTATATTTACGAATGATGTCCTTGTACCGATGATAAAATTTAGTAAATGTTTTGACTAGTTTGTGATATCGAACATCCTGGTGTAATAATTTTTCAGTAATACAGAGATTTCTTTCGTTGAAATCAAATACGTTGTTACATACACGAGCGAATACATATATAGCAGACATTAAGACTAAATTTAGAAAGTTGTAAGTAACGTATGCATAAATACAAACATAGGCAGGCATTAATTAGATATAAGAAGATGTGGTATGAGTGCCAATGAGACAACTCTCCATCCAAGTCACAATTTGTAAAAGTAAACCTTTATAGGTCAAAGTACGGCCTTCAACACGGAGCCGTGGCTCACACCGAACAGCAACCTATAAAGGGCCCCAAAATGACTATTGTTAAACCATTCAAACAGGAAAACCAACGGTCTGAACTATAAAAAAAACGAGAAACGAGAAACACTTATGAACCACATCAACAAACGACAACCACTGAACATCAGGTTCCTGACTTAGGACAGGTGCAAACAAATGCAGAGGGTTTAAACGTTTTAATAGGCGCCACCTTCACCCTACCCGAAACAATAGTGTAACATCACAACATAGAAAGACATACTATAAAATATCAATTGAAATGGAATAACTCAATCAAAAGACATATTAACAAAAACAAGTGAACATACACTGAACGAATAAAGTAGACTACATTTAGAAATTGTAAGTAGCTTATACATACATACAAACATAGGCAGACATTAAGACTACATTTAGAAAGTTATAAGTGACTTATACATATATACAAACATAACTCCCTTTGTAGACTACATTTAGAAAGTTGTAAGTAAATTATGCATACATACAAACATGTGCAGACATTAAGACTACATTTAGAAAGTTGTAAGTACATGTAACTTATACATACAAACAAACATAAGCAGATATAAAGACTACATTTAGAAAGTTGTAAGTAACTTATACAAACATACAAACATAAGCAGACATGCAGACTACATTTAGAAAGTTACAAGAAACTAATACATACATACAATCCCATCTGTTGACTAGTATATTTTGAGCGTACGAATAGAAAATGTGAAAACGGAAATAAAAAATTACTTAACGCAAATTTGAAAATTTGAAAATCATTCAAAAGGATAATCAGAAATGGGTCATTTTACTTAGAATATATTGGCACATTTCTTCAACCGATAAACATTTTTCACCGTTATATATTGCTTTTATCACCAGAAGGAAAACAAAGAAACATGCCTTTTTAAATATCAACTTATTAAAAGGAAAACAATTTTAAACAAACAAGAATATGTGGAATTATTGTCAATAAGACAACAATCCACCAGATACCAAAGTCGTGGTTGTAAGCAACTAAAGGTCACTGTAAAGCCCTCAACAATAAGCAAAACCCATACAGTACGGTCTTGTTTACTGACCTAATAGAGGTTTGTTCCATGGCCAACCTTGGCAAGTGGGCGAAAAATAGAAAGTTGTAAGTGGTAAGCAACTGTTTTTTAAACAACTAAATGGAAGAATTATAAAAAGGACTTGCAGTGCTTTATTTCATCAGACTTACACGACTCTATCGATAGATTGTAAATTTTATACCAACAAAGTTGAAAGTGCATAATAGTCTGTTTTGCAATTCTGTAATTTGCCCTGTAATTAGAGTTCATTTTAACGAGATGTTTCTGTTAAGAGGGGCATACGTTTTCATTGCCGTTGAAGACACAACGATCTGTGCATAATGTGTGTAATCTTCATCTTTTTCAAATCTCTTAATAACATTTAATCTTTTGCTAAGCTAAACAGTTGTTATTGTTCTATTGAATTATCATGCCTTGAATTGACAGCCCATTTGGTCCAGTTTAAAACCCGCCATTAAGTTTCATCTTATGTTGTGACGTCACATCACTGTCCCATGTAATGTAAGGGGAGGGATGAGCGCTTAAAATTATGTTTAATCCAGCCACATTCTTTATGGGTCTGTCCCAAGTCAGGAGCGGCAATTCAGTTGTTGTCGTTGGTTCATGCCTGTAATATTCTTCGTTTTTGTTTTTGTAGATTGAATTGTTATCAAACCGGCCGTTAGTTTTTTCATTTGAATTGTTTCATATTTTTCATGTCGTTTCCTTTAATAGCTGACTTTACAGTATGGGTTTTCTAATTGTTGAATGCCTTTAATTGCTTACATCCACATCGTTTGAACTCTTGTGGATAGTTGTCTCATTGGCAATCATACCACATATCCTTACCTTTATTCGATTGCCAAAGGGAAACAACATTTGTTAAAAGTGTATGATAACAAAATCAAATCCGTTATTGGCAAAAAGACTTTTAATTTGAATTGATTTTACGCAATGATTATAATTTTATTTTCCAGTTGGTTACGATGCTCAACAGATAAATCTGCATTGGAATAAGGAAGACACACCTATTGGGATGAATATTACAAGTCTTCCTCAGTTTGAAGTTGTTGGTCATGATTTTGATAATTTTTTTTCTGATCATCGAATAAGAGGTATTATATATATTAGCACGACTCATGTTTTGTTAATCAAATGATACACACTGTAGCGCACCTGTGAATCGGGAACGATTGTAGTCTATCGTGTGATGCTATATTATCAAAATGACTAAATAAACTTTCTCAAGTGTGAGAAACTTGAATCAGTAATTAAATCAAATACATATTAACCGATGCGACCATAGAAATAAAGAGATAGAATTCAACTTCATATACACTTGTAGAAAAAGATACCTATAAGTAAACGTTAACTCGGTAAAACACTTCATCCACATCTTTCTTCACCAGGAAATGACCGAAGGTTACTATTTATTTGTTACCTTTATTAGTTTTAGTTTTGCATGATTAATATATAGTTTTGTTACATTCATAGGAAACTACAGTACTCTGTCAGCACAGTTTGACTTCAGGCGGAACATTGGATACTATGTGGTTCAGATGTATATCCCGACTCTGCTTATTGTCATGTTGTCATGGGTCTCATTTTGGTTGAATGTAAATTCAGTACCCGGAAGAGTAACCCTTGGCGTGTTGTCAGTTCTTACTATTTCTACCCAGAGTTCAAGTGTAAATGCGTCACTTCCTCGTGTTTCCTATACCAAGGCAATAGATATATGGATGGCAACCTGTCTGGTATTTGTCTTTGCAGCACTCATTGAATTCGCTATTGCGAATGTGCTGACTCGGAAAGGGTCACATAAGGGGATCATCATGAAAAAGCTAATAAAGCTGGCAAAGGAGGTCAGGGAAAAAGCTCTAATGAGAAATAATCAGGGTGTAATGGCTTCCTCGGATCCGGATGGTTTACGTCACAGAGGAAGCGTGAGCTCAGATGAAACAAATGGGAATAAAAAAGAGGTAAATAATGTTTGGTGCTAATATTCTGGTTTAAATTTTTTGTTTCGTATATAAAATGCTTATATAAAATGATATCAAAATGACCTTCATCAAATTAAACAATTTGAAAATCGCTCCAACTACGAAAGTTTAATATATTTTCACATATAATCATATTGTAATTATTAAAACATATTCTTAAAATTCCATTTTACTCGGATCATGTCATAGGATTTGTTTTTAAGAAAAGTATTATTTAACAATGTTCATGATTTTTATATCCAATACACCGGAAAATAGCAACATATGTGTTACGGATGTTCGTCCAAAACATGCATAAAACAGACATGCATTGGAAATTTAAGCTTACCACTCAGACGGAATGGACAATAGAAATTGGAGGCATTCGTTATTAAGTCAGCAACTTGATACAAAATAAAACCGAAAAACTTCTATTCTATTAAGGGAAAATATTGTTGTAACTCGTTTCATTTAATTCATAGATCGCTTAAAAGAAATAACCCTAGACAAAATTATCTGCCATTTCAAAAAGTTAAAACAAAAATAGGAAAATATGGATAAAAATTTTACTTTTTGTTTATTTCAGACTGTTGTAAAAATGGATGCAGGTGTACAGCTACAGAAACAACGCAGTGAATTAGAAGATAAACCAGCATTTGAAAAAGGCATGTTGTATGCTATGTACTGTGACGTGGCATCTAGAATTCTGTTTCCGCTCGTTTTTGCTATATTTAATGTAGTATATTGGGTCTATTACATCAACATTCTAAATTACTAATGATAAGATATTGCAAAATATTGTAAACTTTAATAATTCAATAAACATTTAGAAATAGCAAAACAAAAATCTTAATTTTTATGTCTTTTTTATTTTATTTTTGAAAGCTTCTCTGTCCTGTAAAATCCAACGAGTTCAAAGATAGATTTCATAATATTTCCGTGTAAATTCTATATATATTTTCTTTTTCAATTATGACTTACTGTTATTATTAAGTGGTCAAAATGATGTCCATGTTTGTACTACCGATCATAGCGTGTCCACGTTGGAAGCAAAGCAGATATTGTTCTGTCTGTATTCTAAGAAATGAGCAAAAACATTATCTAAACCACCTACAAATAAAGTTAATCCAGTGTTTAATCCAGTGTTTTATATTAGCTTAATACCATAATAGACAGGGGCTTAAATAGATACGTATGCATAGATTGTGATGTTATAGAATGTTTATTATTGTTTATTACATGTTTGTAATTTTGTATTGTAAGTTTGTTTGTTAGTTTTGTTACGAATTCATTCCAGCGACTATGATTATTAGGTAATTTTAGCGGTAAAAGGGAGATAATTATAACGATTATTAATAAATGTTCCACCCTTTGCATTTTAAAACTTTTTCTGCATGACTATAAACCATGCAGCAATATGTTATAATAAAACACGACGGGTGCCACGTGTGGAGCAGGTTCTGCTTACCCTTCCGGAGCACCTGACATCATCCCCAGTTTTTGGTGGGGTTCGTGTTGCTCAGTCTTTAGTTTTCTATGTTGTGTTTTGTGTACTTTTGTTTGTGTGTTGGTCTTTTTATTTTTTTAGCCATTGCATTGTCAGTTCATTTTTTGACTTATGAGTTTGAATGTCCCTTTGGTATCTTTCGGCTCCTTTTTAAAAGTTCTTTTTACAACATTATATGTAAGTAAGACAATATCATAGCTCATACCAGGGGAACACATAAATTACAGACAAAATATAAAAAAGACCAAGTATTTAGAAAGACAAAAAAAGATGGTTGTTTGGTCTACGTGTCTGCTGTACTATAATAAATACAAAAAAGTTCAATTTTCTTAATCATAGCGAAGCTGCTCCGTTTTGTAGACGTGATGTTACTGCGAATTGTACGAATTGAAAAGAATTCCGTAGATGTTTTATTATCTTTCAACATTTTGCTTTCTGATAAACCTTGAACCAAAACTTGAGAGAGAAAGAAACGCCATTCTTAAACATTGTGAACAGAAATCGTCGAAATTTTTATCATATTTCAAAACTTTTTGACGTCATGTGCGACTATGTTTGGTCACAGTGGGGAGACAGATAAAATTCACACATGTTGAAACGTGCTAGATAAAAATAATAACCAAGAGAATCGATAAAAAGAAACATATACTATCTTAAAAGATAATGAGCAGTCAAGACCCTAAAATAAATAACAGATCACAACAGAGTAAGAAAAAAAAAACAAAATTATCAGTAAATAACATAAAGAAAAAATTAGCAGATACATAATATCACAACCAAAAACAAGAGAAGGCATTGACCCTGACGATGCAAAGTGTAAAACAAAAGTGAGGAAAACAAACAAATAACGGATATTTTATTTGAATATGCAAACATCTTCACAAATTGAGCCTAACGTCACGGTACCCAAATTGCACCGAGTACCCAAATTGCACCTATTTGATGAAAATAGCAGAGGAAATCTTACAAGTTTCCTAGAGACTAAACAATTTGTATTTTTATGATTTGACACTATGCACGTCTTTCAACATAGGTAAATATATTTAAATATACACAAAAAGTTCACAGTATATATAAACAGATGAAGTGTTCACTGGAAAAAGTAAAAGGTACGGGAACGTCGCCATGCGACGTCCACAAAAAGTCATCTTTTAAAAAAAAAGCAAATAAAATATGTTACAAGCATTCTTTTCTTAAAAATGAATAGTACGCATGGACTAATGTCAAATTGTTCTAAATATTTAAAGAAACAAAACAAAATATCTGTTAATCGACTTTTAAGGATGTGAATTTAAGCATGGATGCAATTTGAGTACTCCTCATTACAGAATCATTGATCGTTTGGAGGTCTGTTCAAACTCATTTTTCTATGATTCAATATGGATTCAAAATTGAATCGGTGGAACTATATAGAAAATAATGATACATCTACAAAATAAACACATAATGGAAACTTTAGTCTAGATCATAAATAAACGTAGGTGAAAAAAACGTCAAATTAAGTGCATTTTGGGTACCCTCACGTTAAACAAATCCATCGAACAAAGCAAACATTTCACCGGCTGATGTTATAATTACCACACCAGAAAGTTTTTTTCTGTTTTATTTGCGATGGCATGGTTAGTTTGTTTACTTATGAGTTGGTATATCCCTTTGGTATCTTTCGTCTCTCTTTTATAGAAAGCTTTCATAAAATCTGTATAAATAAATGCTTTTAAAGATAGACTTTGTAATAACAACCACAGTTGAGTTGCACGTTTTATTTGATAAGGGCAGTTACAAGGATGGGGAAGGTAACGTAGTCACCTATGCATAAGTATTAACTACATGATAACAGCAAACTACATGATAACAATTGAATGATATTACATCTCTCTTTCTCTCGCAAATGAAACTAATTGAAGAATTTTAAAAGTCTCTAATTGCACTCACAAATTGAATTAAATTGAATTGACATTATATGAAAATTTCGGATTTCGGAACTAGCAACTTTAAAGTCTATTCTAATGTAAACTAAAAATGAAACTTGCTCATAAAGTTCTACGCTAATATGAGAAAACTTAAAAGTCTAATTCACAAAGTTTTACAAATCAAGCTTCTCTGGTTTCTTGACAATCCTTCCTGATTTAGTCGTTGTCACATCTGAGCTCTTCACTTCCTCGTTGTGTTCTTTACTTCCATCTCGCTTATTGTCATTTGTTTCTTTCGGGGCTGTCTCAATTCTATTCGGTAGATTGTCTAATTCGAAATTGTCACTTATTGTCTCGCGGTTAATGTCTTTGGAGGCTGTTTCGGTAGAAGTACGCAAGTGTTTACGATTTCTCCTATACAAGCGATTGTTTCCTGAATCGGACCTTTGCACAATATAAGATCTAGGTTTGTCGCTGTGCTTGACAATAGTTCCTGGTTTCCAATCCTTCGAGCCGGGTAAAGGTGTCATACGCACGGCACATTTATCATTTATTGTTGGTAATTCTTTCACTCCTCTGCGTTTGTCATAATAAAACTTTTGCTTTTCTTTCTCGCGGTCAAAGTGTCTTTTTACATTCATTGAGTTGTTCATATTAGGCTTCAACACTTCTTTTGACGCAGGCAGAGTATTTCTCGGTCGTCTACCCATTAAAAGTTGGGAAGGCGACAAGTCAATTCCTTCCAATGGTGTACAGTCGAGGCAAATAGGAAATACCATAATATTATGAAAAAGCATAATTCTACTTACATCTTGTGGCAAATTTGAGTTATCTTTCTTAGACTCACCCTGACAATTAAGACATGGGAGATAACAACTTTTGTCTTAAAGGAAGTTGTAAGGAAGATAACTTATATTATCATAAGTATAATTAGGATACAACATAAATTTGTAATACTTATCAAGTTTGATAATCCATATATCCATTCCATATCTGTTTTACAATGATTTATTTTTGTACCAATTTATAAATTGATAAGACTTTATCGAATTATCATGATTTTTATAACTTAAATCTTTGCATAGGTTATAGTTTACAATGTTTAATCTCGCGTTCCAATCATATTATGTTTCCATTTTTATTCACAATTGCATGTTTTTGTTGTGTAATTCTTTGACGCTATTTGTAAATCTTATCAGTGGTAAAACGGCAAAACCCTCGTGTTTTTATTATTATTATTATCATTATATGCATAAACAAATTTCTGTCTGTGTTTTTCTCGTACAATAACATTTGTTGGAATTGATTGTAATTCAGAAAATATTGCATAGTGCAAGGAGATTTGGTGCCACGATATCTCAGTAGCATGAAGTCTAATCCCGACCAGGGAAGAACAAACATTTACAGATCCAGCATTGTTGGCCTCACTATATATATATATATATATATATATATATATTCATTATCATCCATGATTATTACAAAGATGTGAAACCGGTTGGTGAAAAAATGTAGAAGATTAAAGGACTTTAAGAGCATTTTGAAATTTAATTTTATTTCTTTTTCTACTAGTGTGGACGGAGAATTCAATTTTAAGTATTTATATATATATAACTCGTCTAAACATCAGCCCAACAATGTTGGATCTGTAAATTTGCTTTCGCAAATTTTTTGTTCTTCCCTCGCCGGGATTCGAACTCATGCTACTATACAAATCTAAATTGAAAACAACGTTCAAAATTATAATTGCGTTGGATAGATAAAGTATATATATAGGTAAAAAAAATATAGGAAAAATAAGGGTGAAAATGCACGATTTATTCATATTCAATACGAATATTCACATTTTGTCTATTCAAACATCAAATTGTTGAAAAATGTTCCAATAAAATTCTACTGGTTTCACTGCTTAACAAATACTGATGAATGAATTGAATATAAATACTTGGTGCATTTTCAGCCTTAATTTTTCCCCTTTTTTATGCACAGCGTGGACAAAACTTAAAACTTCAATATATATATATTCAATAATGTAAGATAAAGAACATTAAGACTTAAACCAAATGTCGGAGTTGAATTTTGTAAATCAAAAAACAGCACAAATTATCTTTATAACCAATGTTAGTGATAATTTGATATAAGGTCCCAAAACAGATAAGAAAGTAAAGTTTATTAACTATGCGGTTTGGGTTCATTGTTGAAGGCCGTACGGTGTCACCTTTAGCAGTTATTTTTTGTGTTATTTTGTCTCTTGTGGAGAGTTGTCTCTTTTGAAAACATACCACATCTTCTTTTTTATATTGTATAGTGTATTACGAACTAAAAAAATGAGTAAGAGATATTAACAAGAAATAATATGTAGGCCTAAGTTTAAATAGATACCTAGAATTAAATATACTTTTCTCTGTATGTGTGAT